TTTCTCTCTTTTATATATATATATATATATATATATATATATATATATAACTTGTTTAGGGTTTTAATGCATTTTTAGTTTAATAATTATTTCTTTTAGTAATTTATAAAAACTAAAAAAGTAGATATTTACTAAAATAAAAAAAATTGAAATAAATCATGCAATTAGTTCCCTAAATTGTGAAGGAATAGAAAAATTGTGCAAGCCTTAAAGAGGTTCTTTCTATATCATTAAGAAAAAGAGTTCTTTCTATTCAATTCTCCTTCATCTGGTCCACGTCCACCCGTCCACGTTCTCGTACCAAATATTAAGTAACATCAACCAAACAGATCCCATTCCCTGTAGGCATATGTCATACTCATATCATATTCTTATGTAGACACAAATCTTTTTGAGGTATGAAAGCTTCCTAGGAATAATGCCTTATTCTTAATGTGATTGCCTACATTTCTTTTTCACGATGCTGCTTTTGAATAAAAATAATTGAATGCATATAAATAAATAAATAAAGTGAACGACATGAAGGAATATAGATCAACAATTTGTATACATGCCTTTTAATAAATCTTAAAGCCAGTTTATAATTTTTATAATTAAGACTGAAAAGTAATATTAATTTAGTTTTTATATAAAATATATATATATATATTAAAAACAAAATATTATGACAAATGTTGAAAGTTTAAAAAATATGTATTAGTATTAAGTTAAATAGAATGTAAGATATTCAAATTGAAAATGAAAAATACATAAATTTAAAAGAAGACATCCAAATTAAAACATTTTCAATATAAAATGAAATAAATTAAAAAGATAACAATGAAGTGGGAAAGAGGAGAGAGGATGGATTGAAAAAGATTTATAAAAAGATAATAATGATTGATAGACATGAAAAGAGAGAATTAGAGTGGATTAATGGTGGGTTCTACGTGAACAAGACTTGCCTCCAAAAAATAGAGGATTTGAGCAAAATTTAGACTAAAATCAAGATAAAAAAAATGGAAAATCACACCTACCATATTTCAATAGGCTATCACCCTAATGCGATAAAAAAAAATGCACCAACAAACATTAATGCATGAAAGATTAAAATGGTAATTTTATATATTATTTTTTACATAAAAATTTAATTTAATTAAATATAACTTCTATTTTGTAATGATTCGTCATGGTTATTACACTATATTATATGGAATCACTACTAATAATAAAAACTAGTATACTAAAATTATAAAAGTTTAACTAATATATATATATACATATATAGAATATGAATATAAAAGTGTCATCATAGTATTAATATACGTCATACACAAGTAAATACAATAATCCCAAAGATACATTATATAACCTAGTGTCGGTCAAACATACCTATATACAAGTTATACGAAGTAGCATAGTCACTAAGAAAATATCGCACTTTTTGACAGCAGTTGCTCCTTAAGCATAGCCTTGATCTACTCTCATACAATATATAATCATCATTGTCCAAACCACAATGAAAACATAAGAGCAAGCTAGAGGTCAAAAACATGCATATATAGAAAATAATTCTATATCATACAACATCATAGGCAAACATACATGAAAGCCAAGCACTCCAAAGTAAACATGTATCTCATTCACATTATATCAACCAAGATACCCATTAATGCATACACTAGTGCAAAAATTGGATTTAAAATCGGAGTAAATATAAATTATAATAACACTTTTTATATGTGATTATATGTAATATTTTTTGTAATGATTGTTTTTATATCTAATATTTTAAAATATATTAATATTTTATTTATATTTTATTCTATCGTGTAATTTCTTTTATTTTATGACAAAATTGTCTTAGTTTTTTATTATTATTATAATATACTTTATTTTTTGACTGAAAGATTTATTACTTCTTTATTCATTAAAGATTTCATAATTTAGTTTACAAATATAGAATATTTTTTATTTTTTATTTTAGTTTTTAACCTTTTTAATCTTGTATATATACATTATGTGTTGGTGGGAGATGATCCAAATTAAGAGGAATGAGAGTAATTATCACACAAAGTTTTTATTTTTTTTACTTAAACATATTTAATAAAAAATAAATTCACTCTTAGAAAAAAATAGGTGTTGTTCTCATAAAATATTTTTGTTTAAAATGAACGTAGAAATTTAGAAGAGATACAAAAAAAAAAAATAGTAATTATATTATCTTTATCTTAATAATTTATGAGTTAATCATCCATACATTGTCAATGTAAAATTTTTTACACTGGCAACCAATCATATCTTTTAAATTATTTTATTTTATTTTTATTTCATTGAATAAACAAATGACATGACATTATTAAAAGATATGATTGGTTGTCAGTGTAAAAAAACTTTACACTGGCAGTGTATAGGTGATCAATTCATAATTTATACAATTTTTTCCTCTAAAATTAAATAAGTCACTCAAAATTACAACATTACACTTAAATATAATATCAGACAGGAAAAAAAAGGAGAAATTGTAACTCTATTCATGAGAAAATTTTAATTTTTAAAAATATAGGTATATTAAATTTTTTATTACAAAAATAATTTTTTTAAAATTATTATATTTTTACTAAAAAATATTATAAAATATTTTATTTCTCCCACTTAACAATTTTTTTGGATCCGTCACTGTAACGCTATGGAAATATTGGGCTATTTAGTATATATACTTTATGTATATATATATGTATGTATATATGTGTATGTTGTTTATTTGGATTTGGATTGGATTTGGAGGTGTGAATTTGAAATGTACTTATCTTTGTGCATGTTGTATAATTATGTGATTTTGATTGGTTGTTTGGGTATGGTAGTGATTTTGTAGTATGAGATGAGATATTGTTGTTTTGAGGTGTTTATATAGGCATCTGTATCATGAATGTGGTGAATGATGCATTGTACACCATTATACTGAATTGGTACTAAGAGGGAAGAAGACTGATCACCTTCCTCCTCATCTTAGTTAAGTGAAGTATTATGGCATGCAACTCATTATTCCAAGAATATGTATATGAATGTCATGATGTTTGTTTGCATGTTAATACATGTTGCATTTCATATGGTGGTGAGTTGTGAGTATTGCATGGAAAGGAATAGGATGGGTGAAGGATAGGAACATAAGATAAATCCGGTCTTTCTGAGTGAATTTGAGGTTGTTTTAGAGCTTAGGGAGTTGAAATACTTTAAGGAATATAATATTTGAGGTGAATAGGTGCTAAGGGTGAAATTTGGAAATTTTGGAAAATGTCTATATATAAGGACTTAGGACTGGAGGGTCTCATTTGTCAAATAGAAATGACATGACATTATTAAAAGATATGATTGGTTGCCAGTGTAAAAAAAAAATTACACTAGCAGTGTATAGGTGATTAATTCATAATTTATACATTTTTTCCTCTAAAATTAAATAAGTCACTCAAAATTACAACATTACACTTAAATATAATATCAGACAGGAAAAAAAAATAGAGAAATTGTAACTCTATTCATGAGAAAATTTTAATTTTTAAAAACATAGGTTTATTAAATTTTTTATTACAAAAATAATTTTTTTAAAATTATTATTTTTAATAAAAAATATTATAAAATATTTTATTTCCCCCTCCTAACAATTTTTCTGGA